CCTCCTCCGGATCTGATAGACCTTATAAGCAATCTAAACAAAAAAAGAGGTTAACAAAATTTTTTATACTTGCCTAGTCGTAGTCGTGAAGAGTGAAGAGTAAGAGAGTAAAAAACGCAAACGCACTCAAAGCAAAGAGAAATTGCGAGCAAGAGTTGGTCTATATATATTAAATTATAATTGCTACGTGAGTACGCATCATCACTACTGAGTACGCGTTGTCACTACTGAGTACGCGTTGTCACTACTGAGTACGCGTTGTCACTACTGTCACTACCGTAAACTTACATAATTTTCTCTACTTTTGTTGCGGATTACGAATTAAGAAAGGGACCAATAAAAGATTCTTGTCTTTATTAGACGCGTTTTTAGTTACAGTAGGATCAACGGGAATAGGTATGACGAATTTGGTATATATCTAATCCTTTTGTATGTACTGATGTTATAACTATATTATTAGCAACCCTTCAATGCTGTTCTATTATATAACATTTGGTATTTAATAATTTTACAATAGATTATATATATATATTGTTAAAAGTACGTTAAACATACGAAAAATGAATTAAATTACGAGAAAGGGAAAGGGGAAAGGGAAAAACAAAAGGGAAAGGGAAAGGGAAAACAAAGCAAAAGGGAAAGGTAAAAGTGAAAGAGAAAGATAAAGGGAAAGAGACCACCCACACACAAACCATATACAAACTTACACATACCTAAAGGAAGACGTAAAGAAAAGGGGCTTAAGAATAAAGAGGATAAAGAAAAGACAAAAAAATTGAGACAAAAGGAAAAAATATAGGGTATATATACTTTTTTTTTCTACTCATCTTGTATAATTATTGAGTCATACATTTCAGAGAATATTATTTTACGCGTTACGCGTTTGAGGCAAAGATCAGACAGATCAGAAACAATCAAGAACGTAATTCCTAATGTGGTAAGATATTCATGTCTAAGCCACTAGCCTCATTACGTAATGTAGCACCTGGTAAATAAATTTAACTAGATAAATAAATTAACTCCATCTAAGTTTGATCAAAGTTTAGCGCCAATTCCTAATAAAGATAATAAAGAATAAAAAGGAAGTAAATATTTTATCAAAAATCGCTTCTGTAATTCGAATAGTAGATTATTATTGTAAAATTAACTCGTAAAATTAACTCATATAAGTAAGTATGTAATTAAAATATATGAAATTGCATAAATCAAATTTATTTTTTAGGAAATACACAACCTGTATATAGAGGAGGAGTGTCATACTATATGTATTGAAATTACTTACATCATTATTTTCGCCTGTCAATGGAAAGTAAATAAAACCAACACAAATTGGTGGATCAAACAAATATGTGGTGAAAATAAATTTATAAATATTTTGTTCAAAGTCAGTTAAAAAAAACTTTTCTCATTTCGTAGAATGAAATTTATAAATAAACAAGTTTATTTTGTCAGACATTAAAAGGTTGGTCTTGAACTCACCTTTTAATACTAACAAATAATTAGATGTCGACTAAATGAAATAAAGCCTTACCCACCCTTGTTAATGATGAATAATGACTGAAAATAAGAGAAGTGGAGCGAATTTTTTTTCTTTAATTTTATTTTTCAAAGTCGTTAATGTATGATCTAATTTGATTGGTATTTTTTCGGAAAAAACCATGTATTGAAAATCTATACTTAAATGTTTCTTTATCAGTTTTGTAAAATATCCTAAACATTTCCAACACCTATTTTTTAACGAGGTTAAATTTTTTTTCTAACATAATTTTGCGAATGTCTCGATTTTTGATATTTTTTATCAAATATTATTATATTTCGATCTTATAAATCTTTAAAATTTATATGAGAAAAATTGACTTAATAAAATCTTTTTCTTACATATAATGTATTACTTTTCCCAAAAATTTTCCATGTTTCGAATCTAATTTACCATAGTATTCTTCGATATCATATGATCACAACTAATTCAATAAAACTTTTTTTTTTGTAAATTTACTGCAATAAATCCTCTCCTTCCTTACTTGCCAAGAATCCTGCTAAACTGCTATTTCTTTTGGTGCGTTTTTAACGTTAAAAACTTATGTACGCAAATAAATAAAGTTTGTTGAGTTACTTTACAAAATAAACCTTTCTAACAAAATTCAAGAATTTTTATCCAGTTGGTATATGTAAACGAGAAATTGTAAATGTGAGAATTGTAATTTGAAAAATTTTTTAGTACCAAAGTAATAATCAGTCTTGCTAATAAAAATAATTTAAATTCGTATGTATAATAATAATTTTTGTAAAGAGAAAGAAATGTTTTTAACAAATAAATAAAGTCTTTTTTTTTAATCTTTTTTTTTCCCATACTCTAAATATCCAATGACATTCATTATATTTTGAAATTTTAGAAAGTCAAAATGTTTATGAGTATTTAAGAAAGTTTTTTGGAAGGTAAATATGCTTATAAATAATTCTCTTTGTAATACATTATATAGCGTTTATCTAAATTACAAGTCAAAAGAAACGAAAATTATATTATAATATTTGTTATGTAAATTTGTCAAAAAAAATGACAATTATATTTATTGTGTGAGAAGGATATGAAGGATATAGTTTTATTTTACTAACAATTACAGTATATGATCGAACATTTTGATTCACAATAATTTATTCCCTTTCTGGAATTGAGCAGGTAATTTGGTTTGGTCCTACACTGTATCAAGAGTAAAGTATTTCTTAAGAAACATATCGAATTCGATTGTTGACTCTTTAAATGCACCCTCTGTAAACGCAATTCGTGGTATGTTTAATTATATTGATAGTGGCTTAAATTTATTGATCGATTAAAAATCATCGATCACACACCTTCATTTCTCGATTGCAACTTTTAATATCCTAAATAAAAAGTATCAGTTAGTGTTGTGAACAATGACCTTTTTATTTTATCAATTGGTGACTATGTCTCCATATTTTTACACAAAGTTCTAAGGAGGTACATTTATTATATTTATTTTATATATTATATTAATAATGGTGTAGTTAGCCGAAAAACGGAGCCGAATTCCTGATTGCCGATCATCCGGATCCGGTTTAATCGCAGAAAATCCCCTGGAATTCCACGACGATCTACGCATGAGCCGGGTCCAGATCATTTTGCGGCTAATTATTTTTCGAGGCATCAACTCCTGTTATCGCAGTTTCGGAAATGATTATCACTTAAATGGATTTTTATTCTCATTAAAATGATAAATAAGAAGACCAACTTTTGTTAATATAATGATATCACTATCATTAAATAGCTTAATTCCAATTATACCATCTTTCAAATTAACTTCAATCTTTTTATTATTTGTGCAAATTGAATCCCATTCATCATTAACATCCTTTTTTAAAAACCCTTGTAGATCATTATTAAAACACTAAAAGAATTGTTAGTTGCCGATCGTACTAAAATAGAAAAGCTTGATTCGAAATGTATTTATATAATCAGCAAATCAATACCAAAGATGGGGGATCAGCATCTTAAAATGGAAATCACTCAAAAACTAATCGTTAAGCTAAACTATCGTCACTGCGGATAATTATTTGGTGTTTATGATAATCTAGATATTTAGTTACACCGTTTGCTTTATTTAGAGAAGTTTTAACTCAGTATGAATAGTTAGTTACAAAAAACTTACAATAGTTTCTTTTTATAGAAATCAATATTTACGTTTGGCATTAAAATGTACGAACTACTACATATATTTATTATATATATTAATTTGGAAATCCATAAAACATTTAAACCTTCTCCTTTCAGAGGAAGAGAGAAAAGGAAAAGAAAGAATTAATAATAGAAATCGTAGTAAAATGAATAAAAATCAAGATCAAAATCTTTCGCCTTGGATTTTATTTCTTACGACTATTTTAAAAACACTTCATTGCATTAATTTGTGAGATAACATTATATGATTACCGAATAAAAACATTATAGAATCAGCAACCGCTTGAAATAAAGTCATCCAAATGGAAAATATAACCTCCATAACACCCAACAACGTAGGATTCGAAATGTCTGATCAGAATAAAATTTCAGCTCTCGATATAACGATTCTCAGGTTTTCATCTCAAATTCGCTAGCGAAGATTCAAACTGATCTGTCATAAGGGATATTTGACGTATGGTTAAATGTCACGTGTTGGAAATTTGCTGATCATTGATCACACTTTTGAGAAACGTCGCGATCGTCGCGTCGCTTGATATTGTGCTTGATATTATCAAAGTAGCAGCATCATACTCCTTTGGCCTTTTATAAAACTAATAATAAAGTGGTAATCCCTATACACACCTGGCGCCTCCATACCTGGCAACATTTACGTGTGGCACTTTTGGCGAAAGAAAAACAAGTAATAGTTAATAGGATAAATTTATTTTTATTTTTCTTACCTTACCTTTAGGATTCCACTTTAATAGTTTAGTCAACCAGGCTGAGCCAAACGGCTTCTGGAAATTAAAAGGCATGGCAGTTCCATCTTTGATGGGCCTCGTATTAATGGTAGTTTGTCATTACTGCGGTACTGCGGCTAATGATAGACAGGAAAGTTGTGCGACGATATTCTGTTACAAAGGGTTATTATTATTGTTCCTCCTTCCTTGTTTGCGAAAATAATTGGAGAAATGTGTTACAAAGGGTTATTTTCGTTGTTCCTTCTTTTTCCCTTGTTCGTGACAATAACAAATCTGTCACAAAGGGGATATTCATTTCTTGTTTGAAAAAACATTTTACATAATATTATATCATTTGCTATAAAGTGAAGTTACTAATATTTTATGAAGTATTCTACACCATACAAATTTTTTTGTATATTATTCCAGGAGTAAATAGTAAATTTCCAATATGTATCAATTAATTTTTTCAATAAAAAAATTTCTGAAACGAAAGATTTCTTTTACAGGTAAAATGGTTCTATTTTAGAAAATTTTCAAAGTATTTTGAATAAAACAAAAATGGTAATATTAAGAAAAGTAAATAATTATAAGCTGTCAAGGATATCTTTTAAATCAAGCAAATTTTCCATTTCTTTTCTTGAAAAATACTTGTCTTTGAAAGTTTCTGGAACATTTGAGAAAAATTTACGATAAACTGGAAACAAATAACCCATTAAATTTATGTTGGTAATGTGAGTTATTGTGTATGGAATATCTTCTAATCGAATATATTCTATTTGCTATGTGAATAAAAAATATTATTATATTTTGTTCTAAAAAGGAAATTAATCTGAATAAGTAAATAGGAACAAACCATTTCAATAGAATTTATTTCAATTGAAAGTTGAGCATCATAAGGTAGGCCAATTATTGAAGTCTGATATTCTATCCAACCTAACCCCTCAAGTTTTGATACATCTTTATGTTTTAACATATGATCTTTTTGATAATTCTATGATTAAGTTAATATTAATTTAAAATTAAACAAAACAATAGAGATTTTAATTAATTAACTTACGTCATTGAATATAAATTTTATAAAGCAATCCTTGGATAATATTTTTTTAACATTCATTTTACAAATGAGATAATTATAATCATACATATTTTTTAGTTTAGGCAAAACCAAATGAAGATTTTCATTTTTAGAAGACATTACCAGCCTTGATAAACTTTAATTTTATAATTATGATTATTTGTATTTAAGACAATTTGACTTAAAGTATTATTATGAGTAAACCTTACCTGCTTATATCACTTTCTTGAAATTGACAAAGTTCACTATTCAAATTTGTAAGATTTGAAATAAAATATACTCGTTTTTCTAATGAGTTTAAGATATTAATTATCATTAACTTAACTAATAGAAAATAATAAATAATTTAAATATTTTCTTACCTTTATACATAAATTTACTAAATTCATCGACAATTCCAAATTCGGTAAAATCGTTTTTGTTAATTTCACAATCTTCATATAAATATGACCAAAAATCTGGATGATCTTGTATAAAATAACTAATAGATTCAAATTCATAGTACGATGTATCATTTAAAGCTAGTCTTGCTTTACTATACTCTTTTAATTCAATATAAATTTTGTACCTAATAAAATATAGTAATTTATATAATTTATCTCCATCAAAAAGATTATAATCTTTAAAATCAAAAATTTGATCGATTTTTTTTTAATATATCGTTTAAATCTTTAGAACTATTTTTATTTAGTAAGTATTCTAGATGTAATAACTGAATCTTTGCTAAAATATTATCAGAATTCAATAATTCTGCATACTTTTTAAATGATACTTTAGCATTGTTATTATCATTCTTTGTATAATACGTTAAACATTTAAGATAATATGCTAAACTATTTAATGGATCTAATTGTATAATTTTATCAAGATCTGATAATACTTTATCATATTCCTTAATAATATAGTATGTAATAGCTCTCCTATTCAAGTTATGAATGTTTTCTGGATCTATAGTATAAGCTTTTGTAAAGTATGATATAGCTTTTCTATATTGTGTCATATTATATAAAATTTCTCCATAATAACATAAAATCAAAGAATCCTCCTTATTGATATTTAATAATTTATCTAATAAATTTAATGTACTTAAATAATCTCCTTCTTTTTCATAAGCGTATGCACAATTTTTAAGGCATAAATAATTATTTGGATCATTTTTTAATGCAATATTATAATTTCCTATAGCTATTGCATAATCACCAAGAAAATTACGTAATAAGTAACTATTTCCGAGTAATATATATGAGTTATTTATTTTTGCTTTATAATTTATTGACTTTTTTAAATTATATATTACTTCATCATAATCATTTTGTCTAAAAAATATTTCTCCACAAATAAAATAAGCAACTGGTCTTTTGGGATTTAAATCAATAGCCTCATTTAAAAATAAGTGTGCTTGTTCGTAATTGTTAAGACATCTATAAACATACGCTAAAATACATCTTAAAGAATAACTTTTAGGAAAAAAATTTATAAATTCTTTGCATAAAGATTCAGCTTTTTCATAATTTTTTTCATTTATTTCTTTTATAATATTTTGGTATGTTGGATGTTGTTTTTTTGTGATTCTTGAAAGTATTGGGGATGATATTTTTGAATTTAACTTAATAATTGAATTCATAAATTTCTTTTTTTTAGTTAATATGAGTTCAACTTCCGAATTATCTGATTCATCACTGTCATATAATTGATCAGAATTTTCTAATTCAATTGAAGGTAAAATATGTCCAGATTCAAAAAATTTTGCATATAAATTTTTATAAATTGAATTTTGTGTTAAATATCTAATATCATTATCTTCAATTTTTTCTCGACAATTAGGACATATTTTTTGCTTCAATTTTTTTAAATTGCTTAATGCTAATATATGTTGGCATTTTAAAATACATAATTGATCCGTTGGTTCACATTAATTGGACAAGTAATTTCATCTGCTATAACATCTAAAATGTTAGAATTTGATATTTGTTCTTTCTTTAAATATGAATTTTGATTTAAGTTTATTCCTTTTCCCTCTTTTCCTTTTCCAGCATTATTACTTAGAATTTTTAAATCTTCAAGATATTTCTCTTTAACAAAAGTTAATAAATTTTGAAATTTTTCTAAAGAATCTTCCAAATTATTTTCACTTGATTTTTGCGTGTATTGATCAAAATCAATTTCAATCATTGAAAACATTTTATTATCAATATTATATAAATTTAATAATAATTCAATAGATTTAAATTGAATAAAACTGCTTGGTGCTTTATTAAGTGATTCAATTGCTAAATAATAACAAAGACCATATGTTGCTTTTCGAGATGATCTTTGGATAAGATTTTGTGCAAGATCTAATATTCCAAACCACAAACTATGTGGTAGTGCTATAGGTTCATTTCCAGCAAGTTCATTTAAAAAGCCTCCAGTATTTTTCAAAGCTTTAGCGACTTTATTTGATACTTCATCAAATTTTGTTTGAGAATCTAAAATAGATTTGTCCACAGCATTAACCCATTCTCTTTCCAAAAAGCTCCAAATATATTCCATTAATACTAATTCTCCAAATTTTTTACTTATAATCTTTTCACTTTCAGACCAAATGAAAAGATTATGTTGAATTATTAACATAATTCTCCAATCTACATAATAAGATGCTACTGGATATTTAAAACTTAAACTCTGACGTACTTGATTAAGCAATGATAAGATTGAACAATTATCATTTGGAAGAGAAACTCCTGTTATTGATAAAATTCCTGGTGTAATATTTAATGCAGCTTTAAGAAAATCTTTAGTCCTTCGTATAATTTCTTGAAACCAAGTTTCATCATCACGTAGACTATGAAGAGTATCTCGCAAATGGATTAATAAAAAATCAATATTATAATTACGTTTTTTAATAATTTGTTCATCTTGATTATTGTTTTGTTGATTGAATTGATTGAAATTTGGTCTAAAATTTTTATCAAGTCCTATTTCGATAACTTGAGTTGTTTTACGGTGAATTTCTGCAAAATTTGCTAAAGAATTATAAACTTTATCTCGAAGTACTTTACTAAGTACTATTGGTGAAAAACAAATTCTTTCTAAGACTGTCACCCAAGTCCTTAAATGTAATTCTAGTCTAGCCATGCTTTCTTTGGAATAATAATTAAAAGATGTGGAATCAATTAGAGCTTCTAACGAATTTATTAATGATTGAGATGAAAATTCATTTTGTAAATTTTCAAAAAGTAATTTAAGTGCATACAAATAACTTGGTTTAGTTAGATTTTTTAAAAGTTCTTCCACTTTGTCATCTGGCGTAGTGAAACCATCCTCTTCTAATTTGAGAAGGATATGATTATTGAGAATATTTTTATGCAAAATCGTTTTATATGAAACAGGGTCATTATTTTCTAAGCTACCAGAAGTAGTATTAGTAGAAGAATTTCCACTCTATTATTATATAAAGTTAGTTTTATTGATATGCAATTAATTAAATTTTAATATTGTTTAAAATAATAATTTACCTGACTTGAACTTCCTTCCATATTTTTTTATTACAAAAAGAAGCAAAGAAAAAATTTTATTAAGTAAAATTATAATCAAAATGCAGTACCATCCAAGATCTGCATAAACATAACCTAAACAGTAATGATCATGTATTTGTGTGATTTAAACTAAAACGCACCCCTTTTTTGTGTGCCAGGTTCGTGGCGCAGAAACTTTTTAAAAAACATCATTAAGGATTTTTTCTTTGATATAAAGTTTTTAAACTTATATTGTAGATGTAATTTCACCTGCTCTGCATGTTTAATTAGAATTCGGAAGAAGGTTATGAATGCCGATTTTGACTTTACATATAAATGATTGATTCTACCGTCTTTGTCGATCATTTCCAAAAATGGATTTCGTGAAAGAAAAACTTTTGTTAAATAAGTCAATAATGATATTTAAAATCGCCTTTGTCGCTCTAAGTAAACTTGGAGAGCAGCAAAAATTACAACTATCTAGTAATTTTTGAAGTTATATGTTATCTGTTATTAAAAAAATTATGATTTTCGTTGCGCCACAATCTGTTGGCTGTGCCACGAACCTGGCACAGCACACAAAAAAGGGATGCAACTAAAACTATTTATGATGGTAATGTTTATTACACGAAGTTTTGGCTTTTTTTTTCATTCTAAATGCAAGATGATTAGAAAAAGAGAACCAACGGATTTTGAGTGTGGAAAAGTTATTGGTTTTTACGAAGCTGGTGACTCTGTACGAACCATTTCAGAAGAAACAGGCTATGGTAAAACTACTATAACTACTATACCTAATATAATAACAAAATATTATACCGGCGGATTTGGTTACTTTGCGTTTAATGCTTAATCTGAAAGATTTTCATAATTTTCGTTGCCCAAAATTGTGTCTGTAATACCAAAATCACCTGATAGACTACCATTTGACTAAATAATAAGTTGAATGAAATAACTAATACATGTCGTGATACAGATATGGGCAAACAAATAGTCCATGAAAAACAGGTGGTCATTTCAGTCCCATCGGGTGATTATCTTACGACATCAAAAAATACATCATCACTTCGTGAAAAGGAGAAGATAACCAAAACATTCCATCCATTTTTTACGATTCTAGTTACATTACTTTTGTTTTTTGTAATAACATACACACAGAAATAAAGTAATAAAAGATTATTAGCTCCCATTAGCTATCTTTGGTAAACAAAGAAGATTACTAATCATAGTATATAATTGAATAATTTTATTTATAAAATAATTTATTGATAAGTTATAATATAAAAAATAAAAATAAAAAATAAATTATTTAAATTACAAACTAAAAAATATTTAATATTACTACTCTAGTCCTAGTGTTTAAATAATTTATATAAAATACTTCGTGTAATAATATTATTAATTATCTATATCTAAAAAATTATTAAAAAAAGACTTTAGTAGTGATTTTTTAAATTAATTAAAAATTTCAAATTTAAAAATAAAGAATCCTTACTATCCGGAAGTTCCAATTCGTCTTGTTCTTCCGAGTGAAGATTTGGATTATTATGAATTTCATCATCTACAAATAAAATAATTATTTAGAAAGTATTAAATTAATTATTATCATAATTATTATAATCAGTTTAAATAATTATATTATACCGTCAATATCATCATGATATTTTTTTATTTGTTGTTGCATTGTTTCTTGAATAACTAAAAATTAAAATAATGTTATGTTCAATATCAAACAATTAAATTGATAATATTAATCATTCTACTTGCCATTTTTTGAATTCCCTTTTAATGATTCTTCAGTACTAGCTAAAAAGTTTAAAATATTAATATTAATTTATTTGATCATCTAAAGGAAATACTATTAAATATGTTTTATAATTACCTTTAAAAATGCCAATTATTTTTGAACTATTCTTCTGATTATTCAACTTATCAAAATCATCAACTAATGATAGATAAAAATAAATCAAATAAAGTATCTTATTATATTAACATAAATCTAATATACATACTGTTATTGGGAATATGAAAGTTGTATGATTTATTACTGTGAAATGCTAATAAAAGAAAAATAATTTATTATTTAATTATTTTAAAATAAAAAATATATATAAAATTATAATGTTTAATTTATACCTTCTTGTTCTTCTGCATTATTATTTAATTAAAAAGGTAAGATTTTAATTATTAATATCAACCATATATTAAAAATCAAATAACAAATTTCAATAATACCTTCTGTTGCATTTCTTGGTTTAGGAAGATTATCAAATTGATGAAGTTTACTGATACTTGTAAATACTTTGCTACTGCTAGTATGATTTTCCATTTCAGAATTATTATTTTCTTCTGGTTGAGTTAATGATTCATTTGATTTAGTTTGATAAAATAAATTAATTTCTCTTATTTTATTATCAAGTGTATTAATATCAGGTCTTTTTGATGGATCAGCATCCCAACATTGTTTCATTAAATTTTTATATTCTAAAGGAGTTCCTGATACAATTTTTGGTCTTATACCATTAATAATATACATAGCAAGATCATAATTATGTTCGTAATTAATAAATGGTGGTTGTCCAGATGAAATTTCCCACATAAGTATGCCAATACTATAAATATCAGATTTAAAAGTAGTTACTTTTCCTGCAATAACTTCTGGTGCAATGTAAGGAAGATTTCCATATACACTCTTTAATGGTTTATCTGCAGGTCCACAAAATCCAAGATCACTAATATTAAATTTAGTTTTAAATAGTATGTTTCCAGAATGCAAATCTCTATGAATCGCATTCTCTTCATGAACCCGTGAAAGTGCATTAATTATGACAACAGCAATTTGAATTCTTTCTTTCCATGTAAGTTGACTATGATTTTGTTGTAAATAGTTTCTTAAATCTATATCAAATTGATTCATTACAAGCATATAAACTCCATTTAATGGATCTTTTGTTAAACCAAAACATTGGACAATCGCATCTGACCATTTATTACATATATTTAAATGCGAATTAGCCTATAAAATAAAGAATATATTATAAAAAATTTTAAATGAAAAATTACTACCATTTTTAGACTACAAACCTCTTCAAACCAACTTTTATTTGCACTTTCAACATTTTCTAATCTTTTAAGTACTACATACTGCTCTCCAAATCTTTTTAATTGTTGTTGATTAGAATCCCATTCAATAAAATGACCATCAATCCATTCTGCTGTATAAATTTCAGAATATCCACCTTTTGTTAAATATTTAATATTTTTTAAATTATTATATGGAATCCATTCAACTATGACATTCGGGTCAAATGTACTCATCTGACATTTTTGTATTAAATTATCAATATCATCATTTCCGGATGTCCAATTTGAAAAATTATTTTTTAAATAATTTCGAACACAATATTCACAATATAATGTAGCTAAACATTTTTGGTTACAATTTTCACAAACTCTTCTTGTTCCTGAATTATAAATAATTTTATATTTATCATAAGTTGCAGTCAAAATTCTTATTGCTTCAGATTTTTCATCTTTTGTAAGTGATTCATCAGCAAGAATTGTTTTTTTTCGAAATTCAGTTTTTTTGTACATATCATTGTGAATATTATAATCCGTTAGTGCATATGCTTTATTAAGTGTAGTATAAATTAAATCTTCTCTAATAACAGACATAATGAAATATTTTATTGTAAATTTTTTTAAATTTTAAATTTTTAAAAAAAAATTCGGAACGGTCTACTTATAAAGTCAACCATGTGTAACAATGACTGCGTATGTACTCCTGTACTCAACCCTAATTAGTCTAGTCAAATGATTTGCATTGTTAGGGAAAAATTTTTTTCCAATGCATCAAAAAATTTAATTTTGACTTTGACAAAAAGTACGATAATTTTTTATTTAAACTTTGATTTTTGATTTTAATTAATTAATCCAACTTTACCATTTATTTAAAGGATTTAAAAAAAAAAAAAAAAAAAAAAAAAATATTATTTGTCTAAAGACTCAAGATCATTTAACAAATAACGATGATCGTAAATAGTGTAACTATTAAGTATACATTAGACAAATTTAATTATAAATTTGGATTTTACATAGGATTGATAGAAGAATAAAATAACATTATATATGTTAAAATTGTAATATAAAAAATATTCATAATATTTCTTTGTTAAGGATGACTAATGACTATCTAAAAATAATCAAAAGTCGAATGTTTAACTTTTATAAAAAGTTTAACTTATAATAAATTGCTCCTCTGATATGAAAAAATCTTCTATAATTTATAAGTTTTCCATTTAAAACATTATGATATATCGGGTATTTATTGAAGGGAAGCGTCTATATACGACATGTGCGTCACGTCCGCTTTTATATACGTTTATATTATTAATTTTATTGGTCAATTAATAAGATATACTCATTTTAATGCCTATAAGAATTTAAGCATTAAAAATAATTCTTATTATTCTTAATATTTAAAAAACTTTTTTTTTTAAAAGTTTGCTATAAGAAAACTCAATTTTAACGTTATAAAATTTATTAGTACAATAATTATTATTTACTATTTCTGTTTCTTCAATTTATTTTTTTATTTTGCTAATTTTTTCCATTAATTTTTTTATTATATTTTTTTTCTTACGTTTTTCTTTATGAGATTATGTAAAACTATCGCTAACACTATAAAAGTTGTTGATCCTAATACAAATTGCGATTATCAAAATTTTTTAATCTTAAAAAATTACTTCATTTTAACTCTTTTTTTAATGAATGGCGCAATAAACTGACCGTTTAACATGATGTAGATCGTCCAATCACATGGTTCCCTACATAAATATATTTTCTCTTTCATTATATTATGAGTTTATCAATACTTGAAAATTTTTTTTTTAACAAATTTGCAAATTTTGCCACAAAAAAAAGCTAATATCNAATTTTTTTTTTTTTTTTTTTTTTTTTTTTTAAAAAAAACTGTAATGCATCTTTATTAGGATTTTATATGCTATCCTAAGTTTAACAGACACGTAGAGCCAACTTTTTAACAAATTTTTGCAAATTTTGCCACAAAAAAAAAGCTAATATCTATATAATAATTATTTAACTTAAAAAAGTCTTGTTTAAAATGTTTGTGATATAGAAAATTGATTTTCCTTTTTTATTCTCATTGATCTTTCATTAAATCAACGAATAATCAATATATATTAATAAGCACGCTAATTAAAACTAAACAAACATGAAACTCCTTTCTTACAAATTTGACATATTCATAATGTTAGTCCGATCCACCTTACACATTAAGGTCTTGAAGGATAAACCAGTTGGAATAATGATTTTGATGAATTTATTGAGAATACAATTTATAATGATAGGAATATTTACTCTTATTTGTTGAAAATAAAAAGATTTATTACTACAACTTAATGACTTAAGCTTTTATAAATTAAAATGGTTTGAAATATTTATTTTAATGATAGTATTGCTTATTTAAAATTCTATTGAATAACTAATTAAAGAATTTATGATGATTAATTATGCAATTGACAAACCGAGGAAATTTGGAATGTGTCCTTGCAAGTAATTTTAATAATTTTTCTTTTTGGTTGCAAATCTTATATAATATGGCACGGGATTGCCATAACCATAATATCGACAGTCTACGTTGACACAAAAAATCACGATAAGTCCAAATTCTAGTTGAAACAAAATCCTGATAGTCACAAATCCTGACAGTTAAATTTCTTGATAGTCAAAATCCCAAAGTTTTTTTTTTTAAAAAAAAAAATTGTATATATTTTATAAATTTCCAATTAATCACTTAATTTTAAAAATGCAGCGGCGTAGTAACGTGTCTTAATTATCCAATATTATTTTGAATTATTTGATTAGTATTAATTAATTTAATTAATGCAAATTTACTAACATTACTATATTTATTAATAAAAATAAAAGAAAAAATTTTTATTTTAATTAAAAGGACTACGTACAGTATATTACCAGATCAGAAATTAGAAACAATTGCATTAAAAAATTAACTAATCTCAAACTCATCCCAGTCTGATTCAATCGGAATTTGCATTTATTAGGATTTTGGTGTTGGCTGTCGATATTACTATGGTTTGTCGGAATTTTTTGGAGATCCAAACAAAGTTATATTTACTGGTATTAATTATAAAAAATTATTTAAAAAAATATCAATTGTTATTTTTTTATGAAAAGATGTTAAAAATTAAATATCTTGATTAAAAATTTAATATTTTCGAATATTTTGCATTAAAATCTTTAGGACAGAATATAATAAGACCCTTTAAAATTGAATGAAGATATTGAAATAATTCATGAATTAAAACGTATCAAATTTTTATTGGATCCGAAAATTCAATTTATTATAATAATTTAAGTGATAGAAGAAAGTTCAAATATTGATGATAATATAAGTATTTCGGTTCTCTCACAAAAAAATTTAGGAGAAATAAAATTTTACATGTCAGAAAGACGGCGAATCTTTTTAATATTATTGAACAACTTTGAGAATTCTTGAACTATGTAATTGCACTTATTTGCTAGTCCAAGTAATTTCAAATTTTATTAATTTAACAGAATTAAAATACGTTTTTATAGTTTTTAATATGATATTAAATGATAATAATTTATAAGGAATTTTTTTACCAAAACTTGAAATTCTTTCTTTACTAAATTTTAGAGAGAATAATTTAATATTTATTGCAAAATTACTAATAGAAACCACAAAAGAATTATTAATATTCGTCCTCATACAAACAATGCAACAGTTGATTTTATAACAAAACCTTAGAATTTTTCTCAAAAATAACATTTATTAAATTCATATTAAATCAAATTATATTTTTAAATAATATAAAAATAAATTTGAACATTCTTATTTTCATCTTAAAACAACATATTTTAATAATGGTTGTGATCAGAATCATTTATTCAATTATTCAATTTCAACATTACAATACTTAATAAAATTAATATTTTAATTAAAGGTAGACAAATCAGCCCATATGCTAAAAATAAAATATGTACCAGGATAGGTTTTTCAATAACAAGAACACAGTATCTCGTCAAAAAACTCTTATTTCAGAAAGTCATCAAGATACTGTAAATAATTACTGTTTACAAAATATTGAAAATATGTTTATACTTAATATTGATGATTATCATAATCATATTCATCGAAGAAATCAACCAACTTTATTAAAAACACATGATATTAATCATTTTGTAACAATATTATTAAATTCAAATCCTAATATACCTAAAATACCTTTTTATTCATTAAATAATATTTCAATTCATTTTCCTAAAGGTATTGACTTTAAATTAATTATAAATTATATTGATAGTAATTTTATGAATAAATTAGGAAAAAATTATTATTAGCAAACTGAAATGTGGAGATCTGATGATTCATATGAAAATAAAATGGAATTTCTCACTGTTCATGAGATTATGATGGGCGTATTCAAAATCAACAGGAATTAAGATCAATGAAAAATAGTAAACTAATAGATTTTATTTTGCATCCTTTGCATAATGCAAAAGATTATATTGAATCTGCAAATATTTTATTTACAACATTTGAAAAAATAGAACAAGAAGATTATTTAAACAATTTTATAATTCCTACAATTTGTGATTGGCCTGGTCAAATAAATTTAAGAAGAGCTATTACACTAAGACTTAATAAAAAAGATAATTCTAGAATTCCATCTCAAATATTAAGTTTAATTCCTATGATTGGACCACTTCATGTTTCTTTAAATAGTAGAGAAACATTATTTCAAATATATCATTTTTTCTTTGAAATGGTATATCATAATCTTTTTGGAGAAAATAAAGTTTTAGCACAAAACAAAGCCAAGACTTATTGATCTTATATTAAATCTTACTTTTTATGGATGGAAAAATATTCGTAATTTAATTATAAATCATTTTGGAAACACAAAAGATATAGAATATTTAACAATGATAGATTTATTAGATAATTCTTTACACCTTACATTAGAAATATATGCAAAACTTTTTAAATGTGGATTTTATGAAGGATATCTAGAAAGTATTGTAAAAATTTGGGTTTTATTTCAATGATTACAAAGACATAATTATAATAAAGCACCACTTATATTTTTAAGTGATGTATTTTATTGGACATTAAATGAGCATCCAATTATTGATATTTTAAAAAGTCATTTACCAATTTTTAATGACTATTTTGTTGAAAATTTTCATAGCTCTCTTAGATATCAAACTGTTGAGTCAAATTCAGATAAACAAATTATTCAAAAGGCAAAAATTATTGATATTGAAAGAAATGATAAAGGGTTTAAAGATGCATTTGTCAATACAAGAAATACAAATATTTCAAAAGTTAAGTTAATATCTTTAGAAAAAAAGGTTTCATTATTTTTACTATCACTTTTTGATAAGATTTATCATAATATTGGAAGAACAAAAAATAATGGTAATGAAACATTTGAATTTCCAAGTTTTAATAATAGAATTGTGAATGTAAAAGTTCTTCCTCTAGCTTGGAGTACTTCAAATCCACCAGCTGAAGATAAATTTTGTGATGCAGATAATTGTAATATTACAAATTCATTATCAAATATTGTTTTAATATGTGGGCATAGCTATCATAAAGAATGTTTAAGTATACTTAATGAAAAATGTAAATATTGCTTTAATTATTTGTCAAGAAGTATTAAAACAAATATTACTAATTTAAATAAAAGATTGTCTAAGCCATTAAAGGATAATGAAATACCTGAAATTACAAAAGATGATGATTTAGATGACAGAACAAGATATGGATAATCAATATGAAACTCAGTATAATATATGGCTAAATTACAATAATGTGTGAATGTATGCAAATATAAATATGGATAAAAACTTTCTTTTATTTACTGTATTTAAATTATTTTTAATAAATGCATTATTATAAATAAAAAGTTGCCATTAGAAAAATTATTTAATTTATGAAAAATTAATATACTATTTTGTTATGTAGAATTCATACATAAAACTGAAATTAAACTCCAAAAGTTAAAATATTCAAGCTAAAAGGTCAAAAGTCAAATTATGAAATGTGATAGCTTCGTTATTATTGATCCAATTGCAGTGATTTTACAACCATTCGAATCCTCTCAATGAGACGAATCTAATGGTATATATTTCATTTAAATCTGATCATTAGATATTGAGATTGTAAATTTTAAATTTTCATATTATTTATTAATTATAATAATCACATTATATGATGTAATTTTGGCTAATTTCGACTATTTTGACCCTCAAGATGATTAATTCAAATTATTTTAGTTTTATGTATAACAGAATTTTCAAAAAAAAATCCCCATAATAATGGTTTTGTTATGTGATAATATTGAATAGATAATTAACAAATGATCGGCAAAATGATCGGCAAAAATGTGATAATACGAGGATGTCCGCCCTGTTGACGAAATCCAACGCGGTAGAAAAAAAAGTCGAAAAAGGTTTTATCTTAAACACGTGTTCTCTTGTTTGGATGTTCAAAGGATTCTATATGTGGAGGGCTGTCTCTTATACACATCTAGATGTGTATAAGAGACAGGTGAAAAAGATTTTATTTTAAACGTGTTCTCTTGTTTGGATGTTCAAAGGATTCTATATGTGGAGGGTATGGGTAGTAAACAAAATTATTTCGGATCTCATCATCTTCAGCCAATTCTGGAAAATCTTTACAGAACTCTTTATGTGACCTAAAAGTCTTTCTTTTTCTAGCTTCTTCAATTTTCTCTCCTATATCTTTCTTAATTGCTTTAAACTTTGACGTCAATTCACTTGCAGTACTCAGATTTGGATTTGAATCTCTGGTCATTACAAGCTTGGTACGAGAGGAAAATACAGGCCCGAAGAAAATGTCAAAGTTTTCTTGATGAATCAAAATACAATCATCAGGAAGAGATTCCAATTCCTCCCTGAAACGCTGAGTTGTAATAAAAATTGTGATAATACGATATTTGCTCAAAAAATCTGCAAGTTTTGTATATTGCTCTGCCTCTTTTTGCAATTTTTCTTTCATCTCTCTGCCTTTTACTTTAGCATTTTCTCTGATTTTTTCGGCCTTTTCTTCCATTTTTTCAGAAATATTCGAATTTTTCTCATGTTCATCTTTAATTGTTCTCAAATCAAGAGATTTTTTTCTTTTTCTGCATTGAATAGCAATAAGAATAGGTTCGGGGTTATTTACTAAAAAAAAGACATCTGCAAATGGTGCCGAATAACCATTGATCATAATGTAACCCGGCTCTAGCTTATTTAAATCATAATTTCCCTCTTTTGCGGAAAGGTTCAGGCATGGAAATTGATGTTTTAATTTATAGATTTGAACAGGTTCGAAATTGATCAACAGGTTCAGTGTAACATCACTACCCTGTGCACCATGAAAGAAATCCCCAAGTTTTAATGATTTGGTTTTTTCCAGAACATGAATCATACGGATTTTTGATGCTATAAAATCCGCAATAAATATTTCAAAATCCTCCCATGACCAATCCGAATCAGGTAAAAATGCTCTGTCTAATTTGTTTGAGAAAATTCCAAGTTCATCAACGTAAATATACATAAAGAAGTATGGTATATCAATTAGAACTTTACGTGTTACTTCCAATTTCCTTAGTATCAAGTGCCTGTCACGCTCCAAATGTTCCAATTTTATAATAAAGCGACCATCTTGTAGTTCATCAGACATTTTTGATTCAATTTCCATAATATTTCTATAAACAATCTCATATATAAGCTTTTTATGATCACTAGCATAAGTGCTGATGTTATATGCATCATCAAGCTTGTATACGATTTTGCTGTAAATTCTTGATGGAGTCTTTGTTTCAAGTTCTTCAAAAAATTCCTTAACACTTGTAAAACCTTGCCCGAAAAATTCTGTAAAAAGATACTCCAAAGCACGTGGAAGACCACCTGTATCAAGAAGTAATTGATGTATCTAAACTTTTGGTACCCACACACAATCAGAAACATCGTGATTTGTTGCAAAATCTCTCATAATATCAAGACGTGACTCCAAGAATAACAGTGGAAGGTTAAGAGGTTCAATAGAATACATTGTAGGTTCCATTGCTCGTATTGCATCCTGTGGTGCTGTACCTGAAAGTAGAGTCTGCACAAATACTTCAGGAATTTCTCCGGCCATATGATGCCCAAGTTTATACATTAACTGCTTAAATAATTTTTCTCCTTCATTTCGCTCTTTGAAAATTAGCTTAAATTCATCAATTTGAAGAAAAATGAAAAGATGCTTGCCACGTTGAATCAGACTTTCATGTTCAAGGTTGTGGATGTATAATAGGACATTACTCAATCTGAAATATTGCTTATATTCATTGGATTTCGTACGGAACACTGTAAAACTCATCACATATTTTTTGTGGACCAAATAGTGGTACGCCAACCGCAATCCAAGAATGATTTCTGATGCAATTTTAATATCCCCCTGGATTTCATACTCATCTAAAGCATAACCATTAGTGAAATCAAGAAGCATGTAAAGCATGTAAGGCTTTTGGCCTTTTGATATCTTCCATTCTTTGTCGAGACAATTAAACAATTCAACTCCATAACGTGTCTTTCCTAGTGAATTATAGTTTGAATTTGTTAATTAGAAGGCTAAAACCGCTTTATCTGCAGTAAAAACATACAAGAGAATGTATGAAAGTTACCTATGCCAGGTGCCCCACCGCATAAAAGGATTCGATAGTTTGTCTTTGCCGTGGGAGTTTCTTTTTTTATAGCTTTTTGTTTATCTAAGGAATTACAAAAATTCCTGTCAATCACATCAATAGCTTGCTTAAGGTCACGTTGTTTTAGAGCCATGGGCTTGGGCTTATTATTGTCTACATTGTCTACGTCCATTTGTTTATGAATTCCCTCCAAAATCTTTTTCATGGCATCTTCGATCGACGTCACTATGTTTTGTAAACAATAAGAAAGCACAGTGTATTAACAAATAGATACGGTACAAGTAACCTATATGTATCAATAATGGCGGGCCAGAATACAAAGACTAAGACAACACAGGAAATTTAACTAGAGATACCGTACCTTGTGGAACGCCTTGATGAGAGGGACCTACTTTAACGCGAAAAAAAGAGATCAGAACAAACTCGATATTTTGTTACTGCGAATTTCTTGTTCGAGAGGTAAACCATTGGGAGACACTTACCAGTGGTGGCGGGCTGGGGCGGTTGCACGATTATGTGAATTAAGGATGTTGGTTTATCAAAGTTTTTTAAATGTTTTGAAATTTCGTCTCCTGGTAACATTTCCTTTCCTTCAAGATCTTGTTCAATGTTAATTGTATCAAACTTTTCATCAAGCATCGTCAGCTTATCATTTTCACCATCGAAAGGAATATCGACTTTCCATAATATGAGGTCGTTTTCGTCAATATTTTTATTGGTAAAGGTGTTCTTCTTCTTATCATAGATAGCATTCCTGAGTATCATGACGCGTTCTGAGAAATCGAACTTAACAAAATCAAGTTTCCTTTTAGCGGGAACTTCACCTAGAATGAGATAATATGCCATGGTATATCTGCAATCGCAAAAATCGAGAATTAAAACGAGGGTCAAAAAAGTAATTTTTCAGTATAACACAAGTAAAAGACCTTATGGGTACAACGTTAGATCTAACAGGTAGGGAATTTTCCTCGAATTTAGTTTGTACCTGGGATGCATCTATTCGATTGAAATTATTCATATTAATGAACTTAAAATAAGATGATAAAAAAAGTAAATTAATTTAATCAAATTTTTGCAGCAAAAATTATCCGAGAATACATCCTTTCTTCAATTATAGACTCGGTCGGTATTAAAAGAAAAAAAATGGAATTTGTATAGATTATCTTTTTCACTTTTTTTGAATCTCAACAAATAAGAAAATTTTTAAAGCGAAAGTACTCGAAATAGCGAAGAATAGTTCGACATTTTGATTATTTATCACATATATATATGTTTCCATAAACAGTTGTTGACTAATTACTACGAACTGTGAGTCAGTAATACTACGAACTGAGTCAGCGATGTGTCAAGGAAATTACGAAAAAAAATTTATCAATCGAAAATCAGCCACATGTCACAATGTCACATGAGAGTGCCAATCAAAATAATGATATTGTCCATTTTTTTTTCGTACAGCATCACGGAATGCAAGCAACATAAATTTTCGGCGGGGTTATTTCTGACACTGTATGCCTCATATAAATATACAGTGATTTTGCGACTATATTTATTCTATCGATTATTGGGACAAATAATATGTTAGTATAGATTTGTTCATAGCCGGAGATTCTATTTATCTTTTTCTTCCGATATGTGCATTACTGATCCGCGTCTCATAATTTTTGAATAGATAGCAACCAATTGGTACTTCATCCTACGGTATAGCACTGAAACATCTACTGTACAAGCAAGACTGAATGTTGAATCTCACTAACAGAAGACGCCTGCAAAGATCCAACCGACTTGCATAAGAAATTTAAAAATTCTTTTTACAGTACGACATTTGATGATAATTTTAATGATGACGTCATGAAATATACTGTGCATGAAATTACTGCGTGCTGCGTACCATGGCTGATTGACTTTTTTGTTTGTTTTGAGGTAGTACTAAATGCCTGTACGACTAACATCGGAGAAAAAATATATAAAATAGGCGTACAAGTTAAACTTTACCGATTTTTTTTACTTTCCATTTTTTTAAACTTTACTGTTAACATTATTCAATACATTCAATAATATCAATATGCAAGATACAAATGAATGGGTTAATTGGATTGAGGAATCAGTGGATAAAGAATATTTTAAATCATATGAATATAAAGAATTTGATAATATTCAACATATTGGTACTGGAGGTTACGGAAAAGTATTTCGTGCAAATTGGAAAAATTCAGAAAAGCAATTTGCGTTAAAATCTTTTTTTAGTCTTGATAATATCACCATGAAAGAAATCGTTCGTGAGGTATTTTAATGTATAATACATTTTTTTTCGTCTATAAATTTTATCTAATATATTTATTTCAAATATTTTTATATTTTATTCAGTTAAAAATTCAACACGAAGTTGATTTTCATGATAATATTATTCGTTGCTATGGAATAACAAAACTTGAGTCAGGTATTTATAAAAGTCACCTTAATAAATATAACTATTCTTTTGATTGAAAAATTTCACAAAGTTCATTTTATTAATTATTTTTTTTTTATTAATTAGAAAATCATAATAATTACCAGCTAGTAATGGAATATGCTAATAGTGGTACTCTTCGAAGTTATTTGAAAGAAAATTTTAATAGGCTTACGTGGGATGACAAGTATAATTTGGCATATCAGTTATCTAGTGCTGTATCGCACTTACATAACACGGGAATTGTGCATCGTGATTTGGTAATTAATTTAACATTATTTGATTAATAATAATATTATACCTGTATTACTCATTTGAATATACATATGTTTCTTTAATAGCACTCCTATAATATATTGATCCATAATAATGCAATCAAATTAGCGGATTTCGGATTATCAAAAAGAATTGGTGAATCATCCAATTTTCAATCTAAATTATTTGGGATGGTTCCTTATATTGATCCAAAAAGCTTTAGTGGACAAAGAAATAATAACAATCAATCAACACAAATATGCTCATTGAATGAAAAAAGTGATATTTATAGTTTAGGCGTATTATTATGGGAGATATCTAGTGGGCGACCTCCTTTTTATGATGAAGATAAACAATTTGATATTGATTTCGCTTTGGAAATTTCACAAGGTCTTAGAGAAACTATTGTTCCTGGTACTCCTGAAAAATATATCAAAATCTATACCAGTAAGTAATATTTTAAATTTAAAATTCTTAAATTAAATACTATTTTTATTAATCTTTAATTATATATGGTTCTTTAGAATGTTGGGATGATGAGCCTGATAATCGACCAACAATATATCAAGTGGTTGATTGGCTTAATGCCATAATGACAAAAACAGATGTAATAGTAGAAAATGATCAAATACTAAATGAACAAGAAATTAATGAGGCTTCTTTAAGTACTAATAATTCAAATTTACAAGTAGATTTATTTCAACCTATTCAAAATTTTGATAAATTAAATATAAAAGAAATTGATCCTATTTTAATACTAAGTAAAGAAGAAAATTTTCCAATTGAAGATTTTAACATTATAATTGATGAAATAGATGATTTTATTTTTATATTAAAAAATAAAGGACTTAAAGCAAAACAACAAGTTATTGAATATTTTAATAATTATAATATAAATTCTCAAGAAATTTATAGTTGGTTATTAGATAATCAAAATAGTTCAAATTCTATTTTTATTCTTGGGTATTTTAATTATTATGGAATTGTAACAAGTGAAAATAATGAGAAAGCATTTAACTTGTTTATTAATGCATCACAAAGAAATCATATAATAGCACATCTTTTTGTTGGTTATTGTTATAGTTATGGATATGGAACTATAAAAAATGAAAAATTAGCATTTGAATATTATGAAAAAGTGGCTAATGAAAATTTTTCAAGTGGGCAATTAGAAATGGGTTATTTTTATGAAAAAGGAATAGGAGTTGATATAGATTATCAAAAAGCTTTTTATTGGTATGAAAAAGCTGCAAATAATGATAATATTATAGCTATATATAATCTTAGTAGATTTTATGAAAATGGAATTGTTGTTGAAAAAAATTTTAATAAAGCTTTTGATTTATATAATAAATCAGCTGAAGGAGGATATTCAGATGGAATAATTATGTTAGGATATTGTTATAGTAATGGTATTGGTACTAAAATTGATAAGAAAAAAGCATTTGAATTATATCATAGTGCTGCAAATTTAGGGGATGTTATAGCACAATATAATCTTGCTTTAATGTATGAAGAAGGAAATGGAATTACAAAAGATATAGGTAAAGCAATTTATTGGTATGAAAAATCTGCCAAACAAGGAGATCTAGATGCACAAGATAAATATAAATCACTTCAAAATAATCAAATAGTAATTCATGATAATTTTCCTTCAATCATTGAATTATAAAACTTTAAATCATTTATTTCGTTACAGTAGTTAAAAAAAGAATTTACAAGTTGTAAATGAAATACAAATACATAAATTGCTATAATATTATCTATTTTTATATAGTAATCATTTTTATAAACTTAAACATAACATTTTAATTTGAAATGTCATTTAACATCAAAATTTTAAAAGTGTAAAAAATTTAATGGTTTGTATTCTTTTCTATTTTTAAAAAATTGATTATAGGAAAAAGTTCATTTGTAAAATGATAATAAATAAATTAAACATAAAACTAAAGCTAAAATAAAATAAAGTTGCTAGTCAAGGTCCCTACAATTTAATGAATCTGAATACTGATACTAAAATTAATATTAGATAAGTAGAATAAAATAAATTCAATCGTGTTAGTATCTATTATAGCAAGTACAATTTAATTTAGTTGTATAATTTTTTTTTTATACTAATTAAAATAATCATAAATAAATGCCTGATCACTTATGTTTTGAATAATTTATCTGGTGGCGACGAAGTCACCACACATCAACCTAATATAGTTAATAAATATTGTAATTGCAGTTAATTTCGTCCTTTATTTAGGTAAATAAATTGCATGATAGTTTAGTAATAAATTAAAGAGTGAATAATAATCCAACTTTAAAAAAAAAAATAACATTTAATGTCGCATTACAAGAAATCTTGATAATATTAATTAGTTGATAATTTGATAGGATTATCTAAATTTAGTAAATCAATTAAAAAAATGCAATTTAATAAAAATAGCATAAAAATCAATAATTCTGGAATTGTATAAAATTAATTGAATCTCAAAAAAATCTAGAAGTCATCTTTAGTGAATTTTCAAGTAAATTCTATTGAAGAAGCATTAATTAAAAGTGCTAATTCTATAAAACATATAAGATTAGATTGGAAACCTGTCACGAATGTTCTTTCATATCTTGTAAATTTAATAAGTTTAGAGATTTCTTTAGAACATAACATGAAATGTGAAAGTTTGGAAATTGTTTCTTTACCTATTTTAGAAACCTTAAAACCTGGAGAGTTTTACCTAAAATTGTGATTGGTACGGAAGGCCATATTACCGAATTAAGTTATAATTATTATCACATTAATAGAAAACTTACTAATACAATTTGTAAAAATTGTCCAAAGATCAAATATTTTAAGACAACCATTGACGATAAAGATGAGGCAACTTATTATGATTTGGAGAAAATATTGATTAGATATCAATATTTAAAAGATTTATATATTCAAGGAGATTATATTATATTGATTTACTTTCGAAAATATTGAATAAATCATCACCAATGGGTTTATTCAAATTTAAATTTTCTTTATATTAATGTAAATTAGATCGAATTGGACAAAAAATCTTATATTATTAGAAATAAATACTTATTTGATGGATATATCAGATTACCCGAATTTGGATCAATTGATTGATATAATTAAAATGTATGGACCGAAAGTAATAAAGCATTATAAAATTGTCAAGTAACATGAAAAAGATTTAAATAATGATTTTACATGGAATATTGGTACTAATCCAGTTACTAATGTGAATATTTGAAATGAACTTTTTATTTTTTATTTTTTATTATTGTTATTATAAAATTTGATAATGAAAAAATAAAAATAATGGAAGTTGCGATAAAAATCAATCTTTTTGAATTAAATATTATAAATTATTTAAGTATAAAATTTATATAATGTAAACATAATTAAGCATGGTTTTATAAGTTGCTACGATTTAAACTTGGTTTTAATTTATTAATTCCTATTAATACTACAGAATATATAGTGGAAATTGGTTAATATTAAGCTAAAATTTCTTAATGACTTTTTAATTGCTAATTTGCCCCCTGGGTTAAATAACCTGGGTTAAATTACTCTAAAAAATTATATTTTACGTGATTTTTTGCCACCAAACTTTTTAAATTTAAACAAAATAACTCACCAAATGTACCAAATGTGATAAATAAATTCGTTGATTTTGTTATGGATTTCTTGTGTAAGGAGACCTTGGTCTTGATAATAAAATTAATATTAGAAAAATATATCAATAGAATTGATAAATACAGAAAACCTGGATCTTGATGATAATAACCTAGAAATAAAGAGAAAGGTTATCCTATGATCACTCAGATAAATGAGTTGTTGAATTACTAGGCTGATATCAGAACGCTCATCCACGCTTACTCAGGCACATATACCAGATTTCATCTAGACTCACAAAGAATCCCGACAAATAAGCATAAGCAAATTTGGAAAACCTTAGACATATACATACGTGAGCAGACCCATGAACTAAATCGTAAAAAAGCCTTCATTGCAATTAAAGCCCAAACTTTTTAAATTTAAACACAACAACTCACCAAATGTACCAAATGGTATAAATTAAATTAAATCCGATTTCTTGTGCAAGGAGAATAATAATCTAGAATAAAGAGAAAGGTTATCCTATGATCACTCAGATAAATGAGTTATTGAATTACTAGGCTGATATCAGAACGCTCATCCACGCTTACTCAGGCACATATACCAGATTTCATCTAGACTCACAAAGAATCCCGACAAATAAGC